GGGGGGGGGGGGGGGGGGGGGGGAACCCATAGTCGTGCATGCCGTAGTCGTTAGACCATTGACCTCACATCCCTACAAAGCCGGGACGGAGCACGCCGGGTTCTCACCGGACCAGGCTCTCACATCACCAAGCGCGAAGCGCCGTGATATATTCGGCGAGTCGCATGAAGGGTGCGCTGCATCCTGCTAAGGGTGTTCGGCATCTTGTGCTTACTTCGTTGCTACGGATGACAGCTGCGAATGACTTAATTTATTTTCTGGTGCTTTCACTTCCTGAGACAGTTGTAAGCACTGTGTCACTGTGTAACTGCCTCGAGGGCGCTTGACCATTTTAACACAACGTGGTGCGATCAGTCCCCTTGCGCGGAGCGAGGGTTCTCGACCCCGCACAACATGATCTACTCGACCACCAATATGGTTACCGCCAAAAAAAAACCGAGGTAAAAAAAAAACGGGAACCTGGTTGCCGAGTTCACGAAGTGAATTGGCTTGTTTTACAACGTCGTTTCCAAGCGACGAAAACCCAATCCCGATGGCAAAAACCGAGGGGGGGCATGTTTTACAACGTCGTTGCCAAGCGACGAAAACCCAACCCGGATGGCAAACACCGGGAGGGAGGGGAGGCGGGGTAGCAATAAAGAGCAGAGGGGACGCAAGGAAGAAAAATACTTCACCCGACGAAGCTACTGGCCCACACTAGGCAAGAAATTAGCTGCTGCAATTGTTTGCCATAATGTGGTATCACGTGGCATCACTACAATCGCAGAAGCAAAAAAAGCGATTAATGCGATACTGTCCAATTCGACACCCTCGACTTTATCGTAGCGACCAGGTGCTGCGAAACGCTGCACCCTGCAGATCGTACGCACCACCATGTATTCGATGAAATTTTCTAGAAGGCTTGACCACAGAAAAATGCTGGCCTGCCGAGATCGACATGGGCATTCGAAATGGCACTACTGTACAGAAAGATTCAGATGTTGCGTACAGGATAGCGCCTTGGTGTAGAGCCTTCAGGGCACGCGCCCAGGTCATACACCACACGAATACGTGCATGCGTTGGTTTCGCAAAACGCTGCGCGCGTATATGGACAAGGTCTGCGCTTTGCGTATCCATTGACTGCCAATGCTTCAGTGAACGACCGACCGACACCACATTCAACAAAAACACAGGCTCCCCACATGAAGGCAGGAACGTCGCAGCGTGGTTGTGTTCACACAAGGTTGCAACGACACACTGGAACACCGGTACTGGAAGGACGTAAAGACTTGCGAGAACGCATCCACCGCTCAGATGACACCATACTTCGGAGGAAAGTCATAGCCTTCCGACCGTACACTTGTGGAGGACAAGCAGAGACACAAAACAGATATTGGTGACTACAGCATGAAACAGCGCAGTCAATGACCACGCTGCGATATTGCTGTGTACCGCGGCGCTCCCACGATCATCGGTGTTCGAGGTGTTGTTCTTCGAGCTCCTGCACATATGCTTAGCGATGGTTACGCAGTCAGCTCGACCGTGAACGTGCTTCTTTGCAGCTCTTGCGAACCTGCCGACGTGGCCTCGACAACCATATTAGGGTCGGTTCCGTACCCCCTTCAGTGCCCCACCGTCAAAGCTGTGCAGGCGTTCTTCGCGTCTCTCGGCTCTCACGTCACCCTCCAACTAAACTACGCATACGCACGACGTGTTTCGACCGGTGTCTAGACTTGTCTGTTCACCAAAACGCAAATACTGCAGCAAGAAACAGCGGTGATCCAAAGCAGCTTGGCAAATCTTCGAAAATGCAACTGGCCCGTACTGGTGGAGGGCTCCATGGCCCTGCGGGAGCAACAAAAGCCTTCGATCTATTGGAAGCAGAAGCTCGCATTGGTGTGTCGATGTTCAAATCGTGACATATTTCGTAACACATGGACAACAATCTCGACTGTATCACTTTCTTGACGCTCTGATAGGTTCGGACTATGGTCCTCTCTCTGTCGCGGAGCAAGTTGTGTTTGACAGCGGCCTCCAAAGCGGGAGAAGGGCGGTTGCTATCCTCCATACGATAAGGAAATATTTCCTTGGCTAAACCAGGAAAATATACAGACAGGAGTCGTTGCATATATCGCCAGGAGGCTGGCTACCCACACCTGGTGTGTGCTATGTGTTTGGCACGTTGCTGGCGTGCGCATGCAGTGTACTCCCGAGTACATGCTGTGCTCGTGTGCTTGGGTTTGCTTACCGTCCGCCTTTCGTTCAACTTCCACGGACGTTGTATCGATGACTGGAGGGTCGTCTTGCTCCCGCTCGTTTTGCTCCACCCCCAAGCTACCGTTGTTGCTTGGGGCTTCAGCCGCCGCTGTGCCCACCGCGAGCATCCTCCTCCTTGCGCGAGAACCTCGCCTCTCCATCGTCGCCGGCACGGAAGCCGTGGACACCACGGTCGGCGCTGGGGTTAACAGTATCGTGTCCACCGAGTCGCTACGCCTGATGCAGCAACAGTCGCCGAGAAGAGAACCATTTCGCAGCCACAGCGTGTTTTTTACCAACATGACAAGGCCTTCACGAAGCGTGTGGACCCTCCAAAGAGTCGGCATTGTATCTACAGCAACAGCGGCGCGTGTGTTCCATTCGAGGAGGCGACCGCAGTTGAATTTGCTGTTGCCTGTACACCACGGCATTCTGACTTCCATCCCCAACCTCCATCTTCATTAAGTGTCAAACTGACGATACACCGAAGTTCCGCGTGTCAACAGATGTTCCCTGCCACAAAAACTTCTTGCATTGGGCCGAAGCTCGGGTTGTTGCCTCTATGAGTCACCAACAGCAGTCACTCTACAAGTAGCTTTAATCCGGCGTGCATATTCCAATGGTTTGGCCCAGGGGCTTTCGAACGGGAACCAGAAAATCTTGTTATTTCTTACTTCAACACCGGTTGAGCCTTGATTAGTTTCCTACCGAATTCATGTTGAGTAAGTGTGGGTATTAAGGACCACCCCCCTATTAGGGACCACTTTTTTCAAAAAAATATATCTTGCCGAAACCATCGCGGAAAGCCTTTCTTTTTTTTTCTTCGTCTTGCTATGGACCTCACCTTTCATCTAAGCCTAAGTTTACTCAATTTGGTGGAGGACTTCGTTCTACACAGGATTCTGCGCCAGGTGATGTATGCTTCTTTTTTTTTGGTGCTGTGAGGTGGCTCCGGCTAAGCCAGGTCATAATATTGACCTATATATTGGCGGTTTTCCGTAACGCATCTATGTGGTCTAGTGTTTTGTTGTTCTCCGTAGAACCAGTACGAGGCAGGCTTAAACCTTGGGTCGTGCATTTCGTTTTTTCATCCGCTTTTTTCCCTTTTTTTCTATTTTGCCCCCTGGATTTTCGTCCAAATGGGGGCAAAAATCGCGTCTGTATGTCAGGTAGAGACTAAATCAACCCGGATGACAACAAAAATTTGCATGATGTCTATTCCAGGGGTGCTTGCCACGATGCCGAATAAATAACGGCCAAAAAACACTTGAAATCTCTTTGCGTGGTGCCCAAAGTAGGCCATTTTTGGCCCAAAAACAGGCAAAAAAACACGGGGATTTCTTGTTTTTGTCCCCGGGCATGCATGTTTTTCTAAATATTTTTTTCGAAATGCTTTGTATTACTACCATAACGATACTTGCCAAAGGAAAAGTTCTGGAAATCATTAGAACGTGCGCAATCACTACGAATTCGGAGTGGACCTTAATCGGGGCACATGTGTTTTACCGGTATTTTTCCCTGACAAATGAAGAATACTACGCTGGCATGATGTCATCACCACATGCAATTTTTTTTGTTTTTTGTTGTTTCATCGTTTAGGTCGTGTTATAAGCTAACGTTCGATACCTCTCTGTCGCCACAAATCGTTAAGACACCCGAGAACGACCTCTCAGAGCGGGGGCTCCGTTAAGTGGTCCTGAATCGGCACATTTACACTTGTAAGAAATTTGGGGCAAGCAGTGTCTTGACAGGTTCGCAAAGAAGATTGTATACACCCTCGTAGTTTCGGACCCTGTCCCTTCAACGGCAGTTGCTATCTACACCCGACTATTCTAATCTTCCTATGCAAAAGCATGGAAGCACGCTTTCCATGAGTCCGGGCATGCTCCATTGAGACGTTCGCTCTCGAAAGAAGGTGCCGCATCGACCCGAAAGCCGGCGCGACTCGGCTCGGCGAAATTTGGTGACACCCATCAACAACCGTTCTGTAAAGCGCGCGCAAACCCTCGCCTTACACCACGTTCTAAGCATCAAACCCATGTACCACTCAACTGCTGCGCTTGCTTCAATATATACGTCCTGCAAGAAGCGACTGCTGTGAATTGCACCCACCATGCAGCAGTAAGAGGTGTCCCGGGTTGTTGCTCAAGCTCCCATGGTTCTATTTTCTTGCCGTGCGTCCCAGCGGCCGCAGAGCAGTCCATGTTGTACAAAGCGCCTCTGGCCCGACAGGGACGTCACTCTGTCGAACTTCGGCTTGTGCCGAAGAGGGCAGGTCTCCCACGCAGAACACCAACCAGCAGGCAGAGCAACACAGAGTTAAGAGGACATCACAGCGCGTCACGAGAGAGACCAATCGAAAGTAGAGCGGCCTAACCCAACGTTCAACCGAAGAGGCACTATAAAGAGGTTTGAGAACCACTTTTCCTCCACTTCGCGTGACTCCTCTCATGCAACGGCGACCGCACTTCGAGAAGGCCAGGCAACTGGCGAGGTGCCGAGAGAGGAAGGTTATGCCGAGAGAGTACGACCCCCGACGATACGGACCCATTGCAAGCAGAAGCATAGCCCCTGTATCATCCCGGTCGGCATCTGCTGCGCCCGCGGGACAGGTGTGTCGAGACGGGCAGCTCGTGTTTTCGACGTCGCCAAGGCGGGGTGATCGGCTGAGCTCCCAGCGACAACGACAGCGCCGTGTTGGTGTCGGCGGCGAGTGCTCTTGGCCATCGCGCAGTGGAACACCGAAATGGCAGGTCGAGCCGTGGGGACTGCGCTCTTTTGCCGAGGAAGCTGCAGTCTCTCACAGGTGCGTGTACATGTACAACTCAGCAGATGCAATGTGAGATGTGACAGCGTGGAGAAGAAATTCGGCGGTTACACACCTGTGGGCCCACAATTTTCCTGTGTTGTTGCACGACGCCACGCATGCGAGTTCGGGAGAATTCTGTACCACGCCCGTCCAATCGCTGTGACGAGTAGCGCTGCTAATGCAAGATACGGGCTGTGGAGCAGACCATGAGCGATACCCGCGATATGCACACTTTAACGCTGTTTGGAACATATAGGGGTCGAAAACAAAGAAAGTCACAATTTCAAATTTTGACAACCACCGCGTCAGGCCGACGAGTCTCAGGGTGGTTGTTGTCGTTGTTGTCTTCACATTAAACCGTATGTCAGTTGCTAAATGACAAAATCTAGCAAAGACTCTCAGCCTGTGGTCACGAAAGTGCTAGAGCCATCTGAGGATCTAAAGAACACGCACACATATAACGAGAAAAAGGTATCCAAGAGCCCGAAGAGGTACACCTAAAAATCCATGCAGCACCGTATGCGTGCCCAAAAACTGAACTGCACGTCCATCCCACCGTTCGACTACAGTGACAGCATCACCCCCTCCCTGTCCCACTCTATACCAAAATGGAAGATTGCCGACTACAGCATACTGCTGTCTGAAGTGCTGTCTGTACAAAAACACCATGGTAGGCATGGAACAAGCAGCTGGCGGGGCACAAAGCTGCTGTCTGAAGTGCTGAATGTGTCTGCGGCCGTACAGGGAAAAAGAACAACCAAAGCCATAATAGCAGCAATCGACAATCACCCGAATCTCTCCCGATCGTCTGTGTTAGGC